AGTTGAGCCTGTAGCACTTTAAGGCGTGTTTCATCGATCCGGAAGGCTGTGATAACCAATCATATTGCTTACAGAGGGGGGCTAGGCTGCACGGTTCCATGATGGTGAGGTCGCCGATCTGATGACTTTTCCATGCGCTCTTATACAGCACGTGATTGACCGACCCCTCAAAAACTTATCACCAGTCCTCTTCCAAAATGGATCATGCCGAACTTGATTGTGTTTACAACAAGCGAGATTGTTTCGAACAACTAATTGCGTAGCTAGACCTGCTTAGATATCCGCAGTCCGCTGATATCGCGGATCAAGTTCCTCTCTATCTCAAGATGGCATAGCATAATATCTTACAGATGCTAGAGGAGGACATATGACCTAGCATAGGAAGTCACTCCGTTTCTTCCCTACGTTCGACACACGTCTATATGAAACGATGAAATCAGTATCGCTTGAACTTTCGATTCATTGTTAAAAGAATATTATGCAATGTGATTTGAACATTCAAACAAGCACGATTCAAAGGATTGAAACAGCATGGCTGTGATTTGAACAATTTTAGTTCGAAATGAACTTCGCCGTTTGCAGAAAAGGGGAAAACTAGCACGAAGTCTAAAAAATGCAAGACTATGTGGCGCCACCAGCTTGGCGCACTCTCGCGTTCATGAACGAAGAAAACCTCCTGATTGATCACATTCACCATTCTTCCCATGATGCCCCCAGCGAAGTCTTGGACTGGTCGCCAATTCTCCAATCATTGTTGTCGATACTGCGACAAATTAAACAAAGGATCAAACTTGTCTCGCAAGGAATCTCATTTAAGACAGTGTTCCAATTTTGCAGAACACGTTCAGAAGCTTAGGAAAGATGATCCAGAAGAGGAATTAAAACAGATATTCGATTCGCTCTTGTCGTCTGCAGATGGTACCGCATGGATCAATCGTCAGTTTCCTTCGCAAAGTTGTTATCATTGCAATGATGCGTTGCCTGAGGCAAATCGCGTACGCAAGACAACGCACCTGAAGACTTGTGACGGATTCAGGGATCTTGTCCAAACTTTTCTGCAGCAAGGAAGCACGACGGACCTGGACGAGGTTCCTAGGGATGTTCTGGAACCCGTTCAAAGTCAATGTACTTTGACATTGCGGAACGAATTCCTTGTATCGTCGCAAATCACACCAACAACTTTAGCTACACCAGTTCGGCTTTTCCCACACCCACAACTAAGCAACGAGAGTGTTATTCCTTTTGCGAGCACCCATGCTTCGCCCGATCTAAGTGCCGGCAGGCATAATGGTTTGAACCTTGAACCAACCATGAATTCAACGATGATAGAAAGACCAACGCTGCATCCGGAGCCTTGGAGCAACACAGACCTGTTGCAAGACATGCAAAGCCTGAGGTGCGATGTTCGATGTTCGCTTCAATGCATTTTCTAACATAGTTTAGTGGCGTTCATGAACCAATTTCTAAACTCACGATCACGTAAGTCGAGAAGAGCCGAGGAGAAGCAAGATGTTGTCACTCATAAAGCTGGTTAGTTAACCTTTGAAGAATTGTGGGATGAACAGACACCTTCTGACGGGCCTGGTTCGATATCCTCTGAGGTCGTGCACCACTGCGAGCGATCTTCGTGGTCTCCGGGCAATGACCTTAAAAGGCGGGTCTTAGACGAGATCAAATCCGACAGCGGGTTAGGGCTGACAGCAGTATTTCATTTACTGGCAACCATCAAATTACCTGGTATAAAGATAATCGAAGTCGGAGGCACTCATGACATCGATGACTGGGAACAATGGACACAATGCCACCAA